GTTCTAGTAAATGTGTACCAAAATGTGAATTACTTTGTATTATTACAGTCTAAACGTCGACCTAACAGAATATTATTGATGTGCTTTTTATTTTGTATAAAGTGCAAGCATTTCGTCCCAAAGTCCAGTCTAAGTAGTGCAGTAAAATGTTGTTACACGTCCTGTCAAAATAATTCGTATAGTGCAAGCCTGGATCTGCGTGTCAAACTGTTACATTTGTGTATGTAAAGTGATATTAAAAAAGAAAGAAAGAAAAAAAAAAGCTATAAGCTATAACCTGTCCATTGCTTTTGGCAAATACAACCACATATTGTATATATTTCCCGAATTCCATATTTATCCGCATGTAAAGGTCCGGTTATACATGTTACAGATATTCAATATTTATGGCTAGAAGAATTGGTATGTACAATTTAGTTTACAGAACTGTTTGGTAACATTTCGTACATTATTAAAGATTCTGAAATCCCGTAATTTGTGGTAGGAATCCTTATTGCTTCAGTTGGGGTGCTGCAACTTAGCTTTTTAGGCAGTTAACTTCAGAGCCATCCCTTCTCCCCTCCTCCTGGTCCTCACTCTTCTCCCATGATGTCATCAGGAAAGCAGCAATGTTGATATAAATGTGATAAATGCACATATCCCCGCTGGCATGAGAGTAGTGTGTAATTAGTATTATATTAAAACCTATGGAGCAAAAGTTTTCGCTTGCAATATAATTTAACTGACCATCATAAGCATCGAATAATATCATTATTGATTGCATTTGGCCTATGGATATTAACAGAAGGAAATTTTATCTGGAGAAAGGAAGGAAGAAAGGAAAGAACATGCCAAGGATGCATGCTTGGCCAGAGAATTATAAAACCAAATTATTGCAGTCGGTAAGGGTTGAAATAACTTATATGAGGATTAAAACAAAAGAACGAAACAAAACACTGGAGAGGCTTTGACTACAATTTATTTAAAATAATTAAAGATGGCCACAAGTGACATCTTATCCTTCTCTTGTAATGACTTCTCCACCCCTCCTCCCATTTCTCAGCCCTCAAACCACACCATTATTTTAGAACCCTCTAAAATGAAGCTTTTTTCCTTCCCTTTATAATTTTGCCAACCTTAAAAGCTTCTAACAGAAATGATAACAAAAATAAACTGACCTAAGGAAGGCTGGTTAGAGTTAGTGTACTTTATCTCTTTTGTTTTTTCCCCATTTTCTTAAGAAATCCCTCCTACTGGCTGGCAATAATACAGTAAAAAATTGTGTCTGTACATATCAATATTAGCCATGCATAACGACTGTGGCAGAATTCCTTTTTTTTTTTTTTAATCAGATTGTTTCTTTTTGCAGTTTAGTTTGATAGATTTGCAAGCTGTGGTGCTTCCCTTAACTTAGTGATGCTTGTAGAAACTGCTAGGTTTTGTTCCTCTTTGTAGCTTGCATGATCGCCCCATTAAGCAGACAACATTTCAACAAGACAACACAGATCACAAGCTTGGCTAAAACTCTCTGTGTGTCGGCTATCATGTCACAGAGTGAATTGCATCTGCTGACCTCTTCATAGTTCAAGGAGGTGTGTGTGTGTGTGTGTGTGTGTGTGTGTATGTGTGA